AAAGACTCAGGCGGCTTACTGGCAGCTTTTTGAAATAGTGGAAATTATTAAGGATGGATACTTTGACACTCTTTCTCTGTAACTATATCCAGAACCCTGATGGAGCCCAGGACATTCTTCAGTCCTGTAGGGTAGGCTTAGCGTTAGCTTAGCTTCAGGCAGAATCCCATTGTCTTCTCCAAGGCAGTGTTTTAATTCTCTAACCAGAAACAGAAATGTTCCCGACAATATGTGCCAAAGAAGCCTCTGTCATCCATCAGTGGGGTTTAAAGGCTGACTACAAAGAAGGACATCAGAGGGGGATTGAGGACTGATCCCAAGTCCCCAGAGGGACAGTTAGCTCCAGGTGAACGAAGACGAACGAGGAGCAGTGCAGAAGAGTTTATGAATCTTCAGGCCTTTTGCTTTCTCGTCTATCCAGCCATATAAAGAGTAACTTCCTTTTAATGAGACTCTTTGTGATGTTTATGAACAAGAGTTTATGATCTCTGCACCTGGATAACAAAATGCAACTGTTCTGGCTTTTTTTTCCCACTTATTTTGCTGAGAAAATCTAATGAACAAAGGTGTAGTAGTAGGTGCTTAGAAGAATGTTTCGTTTGGTTTTAAAGTCTTCCCGTTAAACGTTTTTGGCAGTATTTGTCCCCATTTGCACTCTTGAGCACACACTTAGCAGGCCATTGTCGGGATTTCTACACAGGCTTGAAAAGTGTGGAAAGTGAGGACTTTAGCTTAAGTATTTTATAAGTTTGGATACAGATGCAAGAACAGAGGATACAAAAGAAATTTTCAATGTTTATTTTTTTTCCCCATTTGGAATATGTTACATTTTTGAACATCTAAATAAAACTTCCTCAAACGAGTGTGCTGTTTTTTTTTTTAAAATAACAGGGAATAGTTGTATCCATCAATCAATACATCGTTAATCAGCAGTTCACCCATCCATGTCAGTCCTATTGTTGTTTTTGTAGATTTTTTTTATTTTTTATTTTTTGCCTGAATACTGTAGAAGTTTGTATAATTCTGAGAATTTTTATTTATTTTGCATTTTTTGTTAACATAAACAACTACTTACAGATTGAGAAATTTAGTCATTTGTGCCTGGAAAATTCTAAAACGTTGACCGAGAAAAGGTGTAGCAACTATGCATTAGACGTTTTGCAGTCTGGATTTTCTCTGCTTTTATAAAATATTGCCCATCCAATGCAGTATTTTCCATTTCATTCATCTGCCAACTCCAGATTGAACAAATCCTAAGGCCAGTAATCAGATTGCTTTGTCATCCCAAGAGGACTGGAGAAAAAAAAAAAAAAAACGACAGAGTTATACAAGACGATCAGTGAGAATGAATTTGAGGCGATAGATGAATGTGGCACATGAAAGATTTTCTTCATACCTGGAGCCTGAGATGCTTTTAGGCCAACCAAACAAGCAAAATCAGGGCACTGAGCACCTGGCAGTGATTAGCTTGTGATTCACTTTAGCTGCACATAGAGGCAGCTTGTAAAAATATGAACAGTATAACTGTTTCCTGAGTTTGCGCTGACAGCAGCTCCCAGGGGAACATTGCTCTCTACAGGAACACATGGCTGTACTCTGGGACTGTGCCAACACATGAATAAGTAAAGATTGCTAACAGCGAGCTTCTTCTGGGCTGCAGTCGGACAAGTTGCCACACAAGCATCCTCGGTTTTTGATGCACAAGAAGTCAGATGTAATGTTTCCTGATGTCCTTTTAACTTTTGGAAAACAAATTGTTTAAATTCTCCGCAACTGCGCCTTGTATGAAAAAAACATTTTGAGTTGCCAGTGCTGTAACCAGTTTTAGTTTTTGTCAAGCAGAATTGCTAATATTTGTGGCAAAATTATATAAGTAGGAATTCTGTAAGGTTTGTTAGATTTTCTTTGATCAGTTATACAAAACAGATATGTAAATATACATAGTTCTCACCATTTTTAACAAATATTGTTTCCAAAACATGTCAGACAGCAAATCTAAATATATTTTGCTATTCCTATTATTTTGGAAAAGCAAGATAAATGGGCTCATTTTCTAACTTTTGTAAAATTCTGAAGTTTGCGTGCATTTTCTTAGTAGACTTGCCTTTTAAACTGTAAAGCTCTGATCAAATGTTTTAGCCTTCAACAAGCTTCTCACAGTAAACAGCTTGAGTTTTGCCCCACTCCTCCTGATAGAACTGAGTCAGGTTTGTTGGTTGATTTGCTCACATGAACATTTTTAGTTACGCCTGAATATTCAGGGCTTTGGGAGGTACACGGCAAAGCATTAATTGTGTTGCCTTTAAATCACTTTGTAACTAATATTTGGCAATTGTCAAGTTAGAAAACCCATTTGTGCCCAAGCTTTAACTTTCTGGCTATTGTCTCAAGACGTTGCTTAAATATGTCAGCCCAGTATTCTTTCTTTATGATGACATCTTATGAGGTGCTCAACTCCCTCTTGCAGTAAAACACTCATGTAACATGAAGCTGCCGTCTCTATTCTCCACAGTGGGGATTGTTTTCTTAGGATTAGACGCTTTCCCTTTTTTCCCCTCTGTATGTGAAGGTCATTAGGGTCAAACAGCTCAATTTTAGTTTAATCATATAACAGGACACACCTCCAGAAATAACATCTTTGTCCCAGTGTGGATTAGCAAAGTGGAATCTAGCTTTCTGTGATGCTTTCAGACAAATGGCTTCTTCTTTGCTGAGTGGCCTGATAGTCCATTTCATTAAAGGATTTGTTTCACCGTGGATTATATCAGTCTCTTAACTATCTTCAGGCAGCATTTCTGAGATGCTGCAGTGAAACAACATTTTTATAATAAAATCATTCTAATGAATTATTTTAATTTAACCACAACTTTGACCTAAATTGGTTAAAGAATGAAAATAGACTTCATTATTTGTTAGAAATTATTTAGTGCACCATACTAACAATATAGTTTCTACATGTCAAATTTATACTTAGAATAACTACCTAAATTATGTTGTGAAAATGAGATAAAAATTTAATTAAAGGAAGTGTATTTGCACTTGTACAGCTGGAAGCCTGATTGATATTTCATTAAACCTGCAGATCTTAAAAAAACTGACAACTTAAAGGAGCAAAAGCGTGACCTTAGAAAATGGCCACAACCTTTCCTAAAAATATTTCCAGATTTACAAGGATCTCCATTGATAGAAGGTAAATACGGTGAGCCTCGAGCTAAATTTTCCGGCTGTTAAAAATAAATCCAGTATTGGCAGCAAAGATGTAAAGTTGCTTCCCCTGCAGTTTGACGCTGCCTTCTCCCTCCACCATCCAAACGTCCTGCTCAAACCCCTGCCAGCGCCTGAGTGCTGGGTGGGACGGCCTTCGTGCACAGAGCAGTAGGTCATGCAGTGGGCTCCAGCCAGGCCAGCGAATGAACAGTCATCTGAGGGCTCTGCCGCCTGGAGCAACGCTCTGTCATCACGTTCGTTCAGAGCTTACTGCAAACCATATGCCTCTGCAGCACTGCGGCACGTAGTAACACGGCAGCAGTTTATGTGTTGGCATTCCTGATATGCAGTCGTAAGTAGCTGCTGAATTTACTCATTTTAAAGGCACGTCTGTTTCCTCCGAGTCTGGACTCGAGTTTATTTCATTAAATGAATGTCAACTGTTTAACATCAACTTATTTAATTGCTTGTTCTGCGCTATAGGCAAACTTTGTTTTGCACGACTGATGTTGCAGCATCCTCGGAGTATGCAAGGCTTTTTTTAAGGCTTGTAAATACAAATTAGTACCATCATAGGGAAGACTTTATCAAAGACAAAAAATGTCTGACAAAGAAGTTGGTTTTCACAAAGTGCTGCAACCACGGATACAAATGGAAAGCTATGTGGAAGAAAAAATGACTGAAAAAGATTGACAGATAGTGATAATAGCAGCCTTAAATGGATTTTGCAGCAAAGAACATTCAAGAATTTGTGAAATTCGCAAGGTTTAGTCTGCAGCTTCAGGAAATGCTTCAATTGGTCACCATACAGAAATGTTTCCAGTATATGAGCTGAAACTGTCGTTCTTCTTGTGCTAAGCCACTGTTAACCCCGACATGATTTCAGAAGCGTTAGAGCCATGTCATCTGCTGGTGTTGGTCCACTGTGTTTTGTCAAGTCCAAAGTCAGCACTGGCATCCACCAGTACACTTTAAAGCACTCTGTACTATACTTTGCTGACAGATTTTATGGAGATGCTGATTTCATTTTCCAGCAGGACTTGGCACCTCTGTGCACAGCCAAAAGTACCCAGACCTGGTTTTATGACCATTTTATCACTGTGCTGAATTGTCCAAAGAACTCACTAAGCCAAAACACCATGGAGAAACGGAAATAAACAGTGGAAATATGTCACTGTGTGTAATTCACATTTGCATTATTTTCACTTTTTTTGAACAATAAAACTGAAGTAATTAATAAATTTTTTTTTGCAATTCCTCTCGAAAAAAAATAAAAAATCCCACTTCCAGTACAGTCTGGGCTTTCTTCCTTTGACTTGGATTGTTTCCGGTAGATTTTATTTTTTTTTTTTTTTTTACCAGAGGATATTGTTGATTTTGTTTAATATGCTCTTGGACGCATGAATCTAGCATGAATCTAGGAATCATGACTACTGCAGTCATAAATGTGTGTGTATGCGCGTGGGTGTGCGTGTGCATGTTTCTCTTAAATGATGTTTGTTGACCTAAATATCATAATACTTGGTAGAAAAGGATTGTGTGTGGGGAACCTAAATTTCCACATGCCTGGACAGCTTGCTTCCCTGTGTGTGTATTTGGATCAGGAACTGTTCTGCAGCATTTGTCAATCATATGGCATACTCAGTCCAACATGTAGCTCCTGCTTTGGCTGAGGTATCATAAAGGCACAAAGCATTTTCTTGGAGATTCCTGAGACTCTTAGGAATGATGCAGTTGCAGATCAGAGGACATCAGAGGTTTGATGTCCTCTGTGTTTCTTTTTTTTGTCCCAGCAGGCTGTCAGGCCCCCTCCTGTCTCCTGGCATGAAGGCAACAGGAACTCCTCCTCCTCTTTCACAGGAGAAACAACATGCTCACCCTCACCACAAGCCCTACCCACATTACCACCATCAACAACCTGCCACTGACGGTAAAGCTAACCCAAAGATTATAAATTTGTTACAGAAATTCTGTTGTCTCTTAATGCTATCCATGCTATTACAGGGTCAGCAGGAAAGATAACTAAAATTGTGAACGCAGCAATGATTTTCAAATGCAAAAAGCACATCAGTAGATCCACATCAAAGGCCCTTATTGAGAGGAAGTTGTCTGTCAGAGCACTGGTAAGGTAGAAAAAAAATAAATGAATAAATGAAGATTAGAGTTGGGAGAACCACATGCTGGAACTCTATTGCCATTGCTGGATTGGCCAACAAACTGCTGGCTCATGCATTCGGCCATCTCAGCTGTCACTCTGGAGCCTTTTCCCCCAAATGTCCTAAACACTGTTTTCCTGTAAAGATCTCCACACGGCTGCCTCTGTAACCACGCTGCGGTTGGGGAGTTGCGTAAAAGTGCTCCAGGAAAGGCTTCTTTCCCATTATCAAGACTCCTGCGGTTGATTCCGAGTATGAGCTGAGGCTGCAGGGACAAATGCAGCACAGTATAAGGCTGGCAGAGTTACCAAGGCACAAATATGGCATTGTCACAATGTGAGATCCACATTAGTTTTGAGCCGGATGGGGCAGATATTAGAACCAATCAGAGGTACATTGAATGCTGGTGGCAGCTGATCAAGTGTGGCTTCTATAATTTTCTCTCCTCTCCTCCACATCCCACCTTCATTTCTTAGAATACCAAGCCAGCTTTCAGAGCTGCTTCCATTTTGGAGAGTCCTACAGGATGGAGCAGACGGTCAGCGGTGTCCACGTCCCAGGAGATGCTCATAACTACTCCTCCCATCAGCATAATGGCTTTCACATGCCCACCAACAACACTGGACCTACAGGTAAAAGAAATGTATATTCTTTCCACTAATCTTCATACTAGAAGTGAAAATGTGCTCTTAAAGCTTTATAATGTAAACATCTACACCAGGATTCGGCGGGACCCAGGAGCTGCCGGGGGGCTCAGGGTGCCAGTATTCCTCCAGCACCGACGACAGCATTTTCTTTCAGGTGGGCAGCTTCGACCGCAACTTGAGCCACATGTCGTCGGTCTACACGGAAACATAGATCCGAGCTACGAGTTGTTGTTGCGTTACGCTGCACAACAACCCACCATGCGCATCTTCAGCTTCAGCCCTGGTTTCTTTCCCCAAAACAGAAAACAAAACCTCTTCTAAAGTCATTCTGATGTATGCACCACAGTAACCAACTGGACTAAACAAACATTACAGCCTATGAAAATGATACCTGATGCACTGCCTTCTTTAAAGGTATAAAAACATAACTTGCAATCAGGCATAGATGCCTACAAAAGCCCCTTTAACTTTTCCGCATGTTGTCAAATTTGTCTAAGGCCGACACCATGTGGTGCATAACCGTGAATGTTGTGCAAACGTGGATCTGAAAAGACAGTTTGTCTTCAACTCCCTTTATTCTCACACACCTAACAAAATTATTTCTCCCATATCCCGGAAAGTCCAGATCTAAACATGTAGAAGACTTTGAGACCAAATTTAACTTTTCTGCTACGGACATTACTGTTGTAGCAGAAAACTAACACCGTACTGTGCACATCTCCAAATACATCATCCTTACCGTGAAACACGGTTGTGGCAGCATGATGGTGTGTTTGTAATCTTACTCATCATAGCCAGAAATATTTGACAGAGTAGATGAGAAGATGGTGGGACCAAAATAGAGGACAAGAAAAACTGTTAAAGTTTGCAAAAGACTTGAAACTGGAGCGAAGGCTCACCTTCCAACAGGACAAAGACCTTAATATAAGGTTAGTTTTCTTTTGTAACTCTACCTTTAAGCGTCACCTCGAAGACATGAAATCCAATGGTACCATGAGGACGTTAGTGTCCTCATGACAGCGAAGCAGAAAAGTTCATGGGGTGTTGATATTTTTGCAGGAAAAGTAATGGTCATTCAACTTCACATAAATGATTAAAGCAAATTTAGGTTAATTTGTGAAATAAATCTTTCTGCAGAAACTTTTTAAAGGCAGCTCAAGTCAAGTTTATTTGTATAGCACATTTCAGCAACAAGGAAATTCTTGGAATGATTTACATGATAAAAAAAAAAACATGTATAAAATTATGGAGAAACATCCCATCTGACAAATTGTAATTTGAAAAGCCAGTTTAAGTGAAATATCGGCAGATAATTTTTTCCAATTGGAAAAGAGGTCACTTTAGATCAGGATATACCTGAGGTTTGATTTCAGCCAGTTTATTGTTACCAGGCAGAAAACTTGACAATGTCTAGCAAAATAAAATGCACATATTTCTTCTCCCGTGCCCCATCTCTAATTCGGCGGCATCAGCAAAATTGAAGTGAACAGATATGATGAATAGATCTCACAACTCAAGGCAGAAATTTTAAATCTGCAATGTTTACATAGACAGTTTTTCACGTCATGTTCTGGAAATGTATTTGAGCAAAGTTCTCATCCTTTACTGAAATTAATTACAGCAGAACCAGACTGTCTTCAGTTCATAGTTTGAATTTCAAATAACATGAGATGTGTTGTTCACCATTTGAACCACATTTTTCTCTTTAATCTACAGCTTCCACTATTTGTGGACTGAAGTGTAAAATATATCATTTTGCTGTGATGTTTTTATCAGTGACAAAAAAAAGTTGCATTTCTGTAAGTGTTAAATGTTTTCTTCCTGTGTTTGAATTTATTTTGGATGGTGGTTTCTGGCTCAATAGTCCTGTAATACTGCAGAGACAACCAGGCCTCCAATTATAATGATTATCATTATTAATAATATTGTTATTATGTGTATAAAATGTACAGTTTGTTTACAACAACCATTTGAGTGTCATTTAAGAAAATAAAATCACACAGACTGAAACAGTTCACATTGTTTATGAGTCTGTTCAGAAAAAAAAAAACTCCTCAAGACTTGTGAGCTGGTTGTGCCCTCTAGTGGACAGGATAATACTGCAGAAGACACATGTCTACTGGCGATTCTGGGTAATGACGTAGCTTCCCCCCCCAAAAAATAAAGAGTTTGATGTTGCCTCATTTCCGCTTTTTCTTGAGCAGGTACTGCTTATAGTAGAAGTTACAAAAGAGCATTATGAGGGTAAGAACATAAGCAAACACCACTATGTTCATAGAGTCTGGAAAGTCGCACTCAGTGATCAGGTTGTAGCCGGTGTGAAGGAAGAAGAGCAGGAACTGCAGCTGCAATGGCAAATGGGGATTCAGATCAGATTAAATGACACATTTTGCGATTGTACCTCTGACAGAAGCAACAGCCAGAAAGTTCTGGAGCAACCGACCAGCTGCAGCATAGTGAGGTATTTCTTCCACCAAAGGTGCTTCTGCATGTTAGGACCGAACGCAGACAGGCCGTAATAAGTGTACATGATGATGTGGACGAAGGTGTTGACAAGGCCGATGAAGAAAGCTGTAGGGTGTGGGGCAGAAAAACAAACAAAAACCCCAACAATTGAAGAAAATAAGCAAAATGTGTAGGTGAGATTGAAAAACCCAAAAGAGTAACCGTATAACAATCAAATTAAATATCCAAGCCTGTTCAGGGTTGGCTTCACAATTATTTCCAACATTGCGTGGTCAATCACACGAATCCTATTAAAATATATTTGTTCAATATGAATTCAAACCTCACTCACATTGTCCTCCAGCCACATACTTCACTCCTGCCCACCAGTTTAAGATCATGCTGCCATGATGATAAACATGAAGGAAGGACAGCTGACTATTCTTCTTCCTCAAGATGAAGAAGAGCTGCTCCACAGGGACACAGGATGGAATATCAGTCACGACTGCATTCAAACTCGTTAAAACAAATGGGATAAGGCAAAATAGGAAGAAACAAAGTACCGTGTCAAGGAGCTCTATGATCTTAGAAAAGAAAAACCACCAACAAACCCTGGCCATCTGCAGGACAAAAAAGCAAAAAAAAACAAAACTTGTTACTGATTCAGCGACAGTCACAGTGTCTTTCTAATGCTCTGCTGCACTAAAATATGAACCCTTACCCTCAAGGCCAGTGGTCTATTGCTGTAATCCACTGGCTGACAGAGCAGGCTGTAGTTTGAGAGCCACGATGTGACCAGGAACTGAAAACAGTCAAGAGTTTGAGATGGGAGATGAATTTGATATATTTTTTTTAAACTGTTAACTACATTTTCTGTCCTGTTTTAGTCTGTTTAAAAATAAGTGTCTGTGCATCCCTGACCACTGAAATTCACTCAAGTGTTAACTACAGACAGTTTTGCTCTTCGTGGTTAATTCATCTTCCTCCACTGACCCACTGGCCCAGAAAGTTCCAGTTTAATTCAAATGACTCCAAATAGCAGAATCGCACAACCACTTTGGTTTACTTATTTACTAGTGACAAGATTTATCATAAGTCCTGTTCTGGAAACTGAAACCTCACCGGCTGGGTGGCAGATAATCTGTTAACTTCAGTGATGAAACCTCTATTTTCCAATATCAGCAGCCCCAACGCAAGGAAGCTTTTACTATCAACACATAATTATCAGCTAATGAAAAAAAAAATCAACTGTTATATATATTTTTTTAAATAAAACTGACCTGCTCTGTGCACCTTACAACAGACAGAGCCTAGAACAGGTGCTGCAAGGCTGCAAAACAGCAAAACATTACAAAGGCAGAAAAGGCTGGAGATCACTGATCAGTTTTCAGATTTACTCTGCAAACTTTATGGAGATTAATATTTTAACACAATCTCTGCCTTCGTCAGAGTCAAATGTGATCAGTGAGCTCTAAACCATTCTACCTTTTGTTACTCGTTTCCATTTGAGATATTAAATGTTACTTTAAGTCCACCAGTTTGGCAGTATTTCAGGTATTACAAACAAAACACCAATCTGTAATTATCAATATCGATTCATATAAAATCCTTATGTTGTGATACGTTTTCAGCAATATTGTCCAGCCATAAAAAAACTCCACAACAAGTGTGAAGCATGGAGGTGGAAGTTTGATGGCTGGCGGCTGTGTTGATGCAGCAGGACCAGGCCAGCTCACCATCATCATCATTATTTCTACCCTGAGTGAGAAAAATGTAACAACATCTGTGAAGAAATTAAAGCTCGATTGGAAATGAACCATGTCTCGTTTTGCAAACGAACTGATCATTTAATATGTGTTCTAATTTTCCTAAATTATATTAAACTGCCAACTGAAGTAAGGTAACTGGAGATATTTGAACAGAGTGATATTTTCATTACTGCCTTTGTCTTTAATAACTAGATTTGTCCTCTAATGGGAGACAAAATAACACACACCTCGTGGAACATGTATGCAGAGAAGCCAACCATGCCGAAGTTATAAACGATGAGGACTATTTTGAGCTCAAAAGGCTTCCGGTTTTTCATCAGACGAGAACCGGCCCAGACCACACAGAGGTAACCCAGAACGATGAGAGTCACCGGGACGGGAGAGTACACCAGCGGCCACGGATCCGTCCTCCTGTCTGGAGGACGTAAAAGGCACAGACGTTATCACAATCCACTTCAGCAGCTTTCAACACAGTGAAGGAAGCAGTTTTACAGAAAATGGGAAACTGTGTCCTTTATAAGGAAGACTATATATTTAAAACTGAAAAGCAACTGATGCAAAACACAAAAATGAATTAACACAAAAATAGTAATATTTGCTCTGTGATGGACTTTGTAGGGTGTAACCCGCCTCTTGCCTGCTGTACATAGCCACCAAAACAAACATCCAAACTTCCAAAAGGTTACTTGAACTTGCAACTAAATTATTCTGAAAATGTGTGGAGTCGCTTGATGAGGGCTGTGGGTATGATAGATTTGGAAAACTTTTACAAGTCAATGTAGGCAAATATTTTCAAGTCAAAATGCAGGATGTGCATAGACTCCTACCAAAGAAAGCTGAATAAAGCAGATGATTCAGATGATGCTTCATGAATGTTTTAATCTGAGGATGTGCACACTGCTAAAACTGGGCTTCTGGATCTTTAGAAATATATATTTTCTTCACCATCTAACAAAGCTATTGTTTTTTCGACTGAATTATACAAGTGTGACATGACGCGTGACCCAGTGGCTTCATAACCAATCTACCACTATAACAAGGGTATAGGGACGTGTTCAAGCCACCATGCTTACATACAATAATGTGCTATTGGCAACACATTCAAAAGATGCACTGACAAACAAGAACGTCGGGAAAGTTAATGGCTTCCTGTTTCTCACACTGCTATGAGGGAAAACTGATAACATAATATCAGTCATGGAGGCAAATCATGTGGCAAAGCCACAAAGCGTCCCTTGTGCGACTGGTCATTTAGGACAGCACAGCTGCAGCGCCCAAGTCTAACTCAGATAGGACATTTCTTTTACTCGTGTCCTCTGCTGCAAAACATGCATACCCAAAAAAAAAAAAAAAAATAACTGGACGGGAACGTAGGGTGGAACTTGGGCCAGATAGAAATCACTGTACCTCCATTCTCCACAATCCGCCGGTACTCAGAGAGGACACGGTCCCGTGCTGAATCCATCTACAACACAGGAACGCGGGTTACTAAGGGTGAGGAATTCGCGATACGTCTCGAAGTTGAATATTCACTCACTTCTCAAACCGGGTTTTAATTATCGCCCCTTGATGACAGCGCGCGACAACCTTTGGACGCTGCTCCAGGTTTTTGTGTAATGACCGGGGAAGATAAATAAAATAATAATAATTAAAAAAACGAAACTACAGGGCGCTTTAAAAAGAGAGCTGAACTTTTTTCAAGTGGGATATATGCACTGAAACCCTATCTTAGAGTTTTGTGAACGGAAAACTTTGGAGGTGCTCTCTAAAAGTGTCTTCAAATTTTACTTTGAAAGCGATGACACCATTTCCTGTGCGTTTCTTCCTGTTTGCAGGTGATTGTACTTTCTGCGCACTAGAAGGCGCTGTTTCCTTCAGCCTAATACAATATCTCAATGTTGGGACATCACAGAAAGATTAATGTATTAGCTATTTTTAAACTTCATTAAGATAACTGGTCATATTTAAGCATAACATCCTTTATACGTCTTTTTTTTAAGTGTTTGTTTCAGTTGATTTTGGATCATTATGGCTTGCAGCGAGTGACCCACCTCAGCATATAACAACATGATTTTTGGGTTTTCATTAGATGTAAAACAATGGTCATCAAAATTAGCAAATATAAGAAAGGGCTTAAAGAGTCTAATTACTGAGGTTTTCGATTCACTTGAAAACCTCAGTAAATATTCTAATTTATTACTGCTATATTTCCCAGAAAGGTCACTAAAGGATTTGTAGTAAAAAAAAAATAAAAAATTCTCTAGAAAAGAAAAAGAAAACATGACAATTGATGTTTACCAGACAACTTGCATTTTAATCGTCAAAACTTTTATTATAATTGAAGGAATGAGATTATCTTATACATAGCTAAAAAATTGTAAATTACATAACATGGTCTGTGTTAGTGTGTAAAAAGAGAGTAGAAATGTTTAATGAAAACATCTAAATGGCATACATCAGTTCCTTTATAAATGTGCATTTAACAGATGGTATAATAAAAGCTTAAAAACCTGACCTCTGTCTGGGCTTTCATTTAATACAGTAAAGATACAGGAAAGGAGATTCAGAATGAAAAAAACATGCATATTTAAAGTCAACGTGGATAACTTTAGGAACTAACTACTTTCCTCTTTCACTGTCTTGAAGAAGGAACTCAGTGAAAGCTGTCTGCCTCCACCATCAGCTGCAGTCAGTCTACTTTTTTTTGTTTTCTGTGACCTGTCATGTTTTAGTCCTTCAGGCTTTCGTCTTCTTCCATCCTAAAGGAGGCAAGCAAAGATAGTGTTTGATGGTATATTTGCCTTTGATCTACAAATCTTTAATAGTATGTCAGTTCAAACAAATCATGCTACAGTAAATCCATAAATGTTTGATAGTATGCACAGACGAGATCTGCAAAAAAATTCTGAATGCTTTTCTATTTTTGTCACATAACAACCAGAACCTTCAATGTAATATTACTAATTTGTCTGATAAACTAACAACCTAACTATTAAGTGGGAGAAAAATTATACATCTTCAATTGGTTTAAGGTCCAGGCATTAGAGTACTCTAAAACAAATGTATTGATTTAAACCTTTCTACTGTAGCTCAGGCTGTATGTTAACGGCTATTTCTATTTTCAAAAGATTAATTAAACAGTACTCAAATTTCAAAGCTTGGGACAGTTTAAAGACCCAACCCTACTTTAAACGTCTCTCTGACTTTATGTCGGACCTGACAGCTGTCTTCATGATACCATTTGTCCACTAATGTTCCTGCAACAAACCTATGAGGCCTTTAAAGTACACAAAAGATCACTTGCTTGCTAAATGCGTGACTTCTGAATGTGCACATTTACTTGTCCTTCTAATGGGTATTTCCAACACCAAGTTGTATAAACTTGAATATTTATTGGATTTAAGCAAATTAGGTGATAGGTAATTATGTAATAAGTGAGGGTAAAAACTAGGCAGCTTCTGTTCCTCTGGCTAAATAAAAGTTAAACTGAGCCTGAAACATAAATTGCCAACTTTCTGAAGCGTGATCACAAACCCCTTTAATGTTTTGTGGCAAATAGTCCATAAGGTTGTAAGAAACGCTTTGAAAAACAAACAAAATTTACACAAATTTAAAAGTAAAAGAGTTAGGCAGAAATTAATGTAAAAATACATTTGGGTAACTAACCTTTGAGGTTTCTTTCTTTGAACTGTCTGCAGTATCAAAGAGCTTCACAATCTGCGCAAAAAAGGTTATATTACCACTCTCATGTGGTTTACACAGAATACAAGCCAAAAATAACAATCACCAAACTATTATTTTGATAAATAAATAAAATAAACACAAGCTTCTAATATTTCAATCAAGCCTGCCAAAGTAGAAATGCCTATTTTATTTCTGCTTCGGTCACAAGGAGTTGGAGCATATTTTCCATTGTTACATTGACAATTTAGCGTGGCCATTATTACAATCATGATTTTGGAAGAAGAACATTGCCACATTGTGATTGAAAACCTAAACAACCAAAACATAAATAAATCAAAACTAAATGCACAACAGTCCTTTAGTGACTGGCCATGAATTCAGACAAATCACAAACCTTCTTCAGCCCGGTGGACACAGCTGCTTCCTGCAGGCCAGGTCTCGTAAGCCATTGTTGCTTTTCATTTGGCATCTGCTGTGTAACATCCCTGTCCTTTAAGCACATGCTATAAACCACATAGGTCTGGTGAATGTGGGAGAAGATGTGCACCACCTGCAGGTGGACAGTGAGGAGAGGACAGCTGCACAAAAAGCTCCCGTTGAACAGAGAGTTGTATTAAACCTCGGTGGTAAAAATCAAGCTTACCTCTCCTACATACTGGAGAAGATGTTCATTCAAACGGCTCCTCAGTATTCTGTTGACTTCTTCACAAAGCGCCCTCTTCTGTTTCACCTCATTGTCCTCCTGCAGCAGAAGACTTGGAAACTCCCATAAACCTGCTAGCAAACCTGCAAACGCAAACACCACTAGTCAATGATGCATTCATCCACTAATCAGGGTATTTAGTGGACCCGTAGACAACACAGGAAGGTAAAATCCGGGCACCAGATGTCAGTGTCACTCACTATATTCAACGGTTTGTTAATCAACGTCAAGATCATGCAGCACCAACCTTTGTTTGGTCTTTGCACAAGCAGGTACTCCTCACCACCTGCTTCTCCTGGCCTCGTCACCACGCACGTTAGTGTCCGTTCCACCCGAGGAGCTTTCTTGGCCGGCTTCCTTGGGAAGTTCTGAACACCCAGCTGATAGTCCCATGGCTCAGAGGGACACAAGGAACAAGTGCCACTGTTCACTGAGGAAGAGGAAGAAGAGTAAAGGGGAGTTTGGTTCATTATGATGATTAAACTTGTGTCCAAGAAGTCAGATGGATGGCAGCACAGGAGACTTACTGCAGTCCTCAATATCAGGCATGTCCAGCTTTCCTAAAAGCTTCTTAGCATTTTGCTCCTGTTTGACATGAACCTACATAAACACATATTATATAAACAATTAATACTTTACAGAATTTCAGCCTGAGCCCATCTGAAACAGTGAGCCAACCCGGCGATATGAGCGGCAGTGAGACTGGACGGGACACTGGCTGCACAGCGGGCCTTTGGGGGTGCAGACTCGTGCTCCAAGCTCCATCATGGCCTGGTTGAAATCTCCAGGTCTTTCTGGATCCACCAGCAAATTGGCAAGATGCCTGAAGAAACCATGAGATGACACTGGGTTCTTTACATAAGTATTCTGATTATTTGATCTTTGAATTTAAATCTCACCAAAGAGCCTCCGTTACTGCAGGACTCGTGCAATCGGCCCCAATGGCCCTTAGGCGACACAGAACACGAATCACATTCCCATCCACGGCGCCGGTTACCTGAGGGAAAGATCATATCAGGTATTTCTGGTAAATGATAAAGCTACTATCAAATATAATTTATTCTAGTGACAGTTCTATTATTTTTGTGGTGGTTTACACTTGGAGGTGGTAATTTTTTTATGTCAAACAAATATTGCTGAATATCAAATCTAATGAACGGTTCTAAGACTCTACTTTTTTATTTATTGTAATTTTGACTGATAAATCGTTATTACAGTCACATTGACATCAACATATATGTTTTGGTTTACTCTAAGAAAGAATAAAAGGAGGTCAATGTCACGAAAGTAAAATATTTAGTTCTTCATATAACAGCCTCCTTATAAGCCTTTTCGTAAACATTTTTTCATTTTCATTTTGAAACGGATTTGCAGCCCATATATGAGGCACAAAAACAATTAAAGAAGAAAGGCAGCCATTAGGCTTATATTCCATGTCTTATGTGTGATCTTCTTTGGTAAACTGTTGAAATAAAAGGTCATGTGTCAGTGTAGCTTTAAAACCATTGACCCACAGGAACTCATGAAGCTCAATGTGCAGATACTTCTTTGTCCTGACCAACCTGGCCCAGAGCAATAGATCCAATCGCGGCCGCCGTGTAGCGTCCCACACCAGGCAACTGTTTCAGCAAGTCGTCCACAGTCTGAGGCATCTGTCCCTTCAGCTCCAAGATCACCTGAGGAAAAACAACAAGTAAAACAAAATGACCACAATGTGGTTAAATTACTGAAAAAGGGCTCTGGATACTTTGCCAAAGTTACTGGAAAAGTAAATGCATTAGGAGAAGCATTCAAATATCTGATTGTGGACTCACCTTCTGCGCTCCTTCATGCAGCCTTCTTCCACGTGAATAGTAACCGAGGCCTGCCCACATCTGGTTTACCTCCTGACCACAATAAAATGAATGCACTAAATGTAGAAATCTGCATACACCAGCTCTACTGATTAAAATGATTACCTCTATTGTAGCAGCTGCAAGATCCTGCACCGTTGGCCACCTCTGGAGCGCAAAATATACAGCATTTATATTAAACTTTCAAAAGTTTTACAGATTAGTTTAAAATACCCGCCTTCATCCATCTGGTATAGTAGTCTTTCACTGTGGTAACTTGAGTCTGCTGCAGCATTATTTCTGAAACCCATACTGTAAAAATAAAACCGAAGCAGAAAAACATTATAGTTCAACAATTAGAGTAATTAAAGAAAGTGGAGTACATTTGTTTTTAAATTTTCATATTTTCTTGAATGCATCCATTTTCATACCTGCATATGTCCTTATGTTGATGTCTGATTCTGTCAAAGCCTACAATATGAAGACAGTTAGGTAGGGCAACTTTGAGATTAAAGCTCCTGAACTGCATTTATAAACCTTAAATATAAAACAACATGATCCATGCAAAACGGAATGTGGACAAAATAATTGCAAAATTGATGGCGTCAATATATAGAGCTAGTTTAATTAAAAGCAACATGCTAATGCAAACATGTACTAAATGATCAATACTTACACATAGTTTTATAACCCAGAGCCCTCAAGCAGTCTAACAGTAATATAATGTGAATAAATGATACTTAATGAAAGTAATCAAGTAGCAAAATTTGCAAAAAAAAAAATATATATATAAATAAAATAAATAAATACCACCACATATTATGGAACAGCTGTTTTTATATGCAAAATGGTGCACTAATAGCATACTTAAATAATATATTTTATCTAATGAATATTTGTTACTGAATAACAACATCCAAAATAAACAGCTTCTTTTTAGCTGCTATAAACATATACTGAACAATAGTGAAACATTATATTTAGATTATACAATTTCCCAGTAAGAATTATTTACCAGAGTCCTCCATGGCAGCTCTCTCTTGTCTTTGTCATACCAGCGCAGGAGATGAGAGCGCAGAAACACAACTACAGCAGGATCAGAAAATGTGTGGTATGAAGATGGTGGGAATGAAGTTGTGGTTGGTTCTGGTGGGATGGAGAAATCAAACAAACAAACAAAAAAGAAAAACATAATGAAACAACACATATGACCAGTAAATTCAATTTACCATCAAAACAGGTCTGGATTTTGTACATAAGGTTATGACTCCATGATGTGATTCCAGGTTCGACAGTCCAGTGATGTCTTGTTGATTTAAGTTATTAAATTCAGGCAGCAATATTCACTGTCACCTTAAAAGTCCTTAAGAGTCTGTAGCAAAGATCAAAGTTCAGGCCGCTGTTTTTTTGTTTTGTTTGTTTGTTTGTTTTTTTCAATCCATTATTTACAAGACATGCCCGTACTATTGCAAGTGACACCAAACTCTGACGGCTGAATAACAGTCTGTGTGTATGTCACGTTGAATACCTGGTTTGTGTTGTTACTCTTATTATCAAATCATCCGGGTACCTTCTTTCATTGGTGTTTTTGACTTCTTCCGGGTTTGGAGAGTTGTTTCCACCGTCTCCATTCGGCCTTTTTTGTCTTTAACTGCTGCTGAACGTAACCTGCTCATTATGAAACACCGCATGCAGAAGCTAAACGCTATCCAAAGGAAAGGAGCAATGTTTTCACTTCATGAACGCGCTGGAGCTCCCGCCACCTTCAAAGAGTATCACTACGCTTGACCAATCAGCTATAAGGAGACGACTCTCCAGTAGCGACGTCATATCCTGTAGGCTGGTCTAAGGAAATGAAGAGTTTGCGTTGGATTAGAAGAAAAGCATAACTTTACGTAACTTAAAAAAACAAACAAAAAAAAAACAAACAAACAAAAAAAAACACCTCTTCCGTATTAATGTCAGTGTATATATATATATATATATATATATATTATATATATATATATATATATATATATATATATATATATATTATATATATATATATATATAATATATATATATATATATAATATATATATATATATATTTATTGCTACTATTAGCAATAAATAGGAGAAAATTGATGAAAGAAATAAGTTTCTGACCTTTGACCTTTTACTCTAACTAACTACACTAACTTGTGTTAGCCTCACTTAAACTACAAACATTTTAGGAAAAGCCTCACAAAGGACAGAAATGGGGTGCAACCTCAGACTCCCTCATCATGTTCTTAAATCACTGGGAATAAACGAACAAAGTATTAAACGGAGAAGAAAGAATCCATTTAGAGACAGTAAATTCATCAGAAACTGAAAGAAACCAAAAGTATGTCAATCCATCTTGAGAAACTTTAGTACATGTGTATGGGCATTTATGTGGCTTTGTCTTTATTTTTATGTCAGAGAAAACTATTGGTCCCTACTGGAACTGATATTACTGCAAAGCAAAATGAATCCTTTGTTTGTCCCATCCTGTTTACGATATTTTATAATATGTTTGAATGATTGCTACGTCTTCTATAAAAAGTGGCTATTCATGTGCAGTGAAACAGTGTTGAAATCATTAGAAACCACATGGGGCTGTGTTTTGAAGCTAAGTCGGCCTTCCTCCAAGGCTAGGCTGGATTTTATTTGAGAATCGGTGTGTTTTCTGCTGCTTAAGCAGAAGCTCTTGGGTCACTCCAAGATGGAAAAACTCTTCAGAACGTTCTTCATCTTCTACCAGCAGCCTTCCAGAGAACCAAATACACAGGTGTTCAATTATTTCAGAAAGCATTATACTGTGACTGATGGAAAATACATTTCTGAGACATGTTTGAATTTTCTAAATGATCTAATCTACATATTGTTCCTGGCAAGAATATATTTCCCCTTGAACATTTTTCCATCATTTTCTATTTTGAAGTCACAAATTTTAATGTATTTTATTTGGATTGTTTTGATAGACCAACACAAAGAAGTGTAGAATTGTGCAGTGGATACATTTCATTTTGTTGTTTTCATTATTATTTTAGAAAGTGTGGCTTCCATTTGTACTCAAGCCTCCTGATTCAGTTCAGTTACAGCAACAATACTTTTTTCAGTCACATCTCTAACAGCTTTACAAATCTTTGAATGCATAAAATTAAAATGCGTGAAGAAACTCAATGTTTTCGGCCATTCTTCTTCATGTAACAACGCAAGTGAATGCACTTTCTTCCGATAATTCTTGGCTATTGTCTAAAATGTTGCCCTGTTACACTGTTGCACATCAAAGCCAGATGCATATCATATGACACTGAAAACACCATCCGCACTGTGAAACATGTTGGCGTTATACTGTGAGGATACTTTTCTTCCATTAAAACCACTGGAGAGGTTTTATGGAAAAATTGGACAGAGCAAGAAAACCTGTTAGAGAACAGACTGAGGTAAAGTTTCTCCTTCCAGCAGGACCGCAACCCTAAACAGTAAACATACAACCAGGGAAAATGTTGGTGTTGGATGCAGGGGCAGCAAGAAAGGCGAATTTCACCAAAAGAAGTTTGCAGTCAAGCAAGTTTTCTATTGCTTATGTGCATATTTACAGACATCGAATAACCCACCAGACTAGCAACATCTGGTCTATTTGCCTGTACAGGAATATGAGATGTTCTTCAAACTGTGGCAAATGTTCAAAATCTTCAAGGAGATGAAAACCACTTCAAGGCGCCGTAACAGCAGCCACAGCCGACTTCAGTCCGTGCTGCCAGTAGATGGAGGTGTGATAGGAAGTGGAGCCGGGGAGGTTTGCTGCCCTCCGCAGGCTGCTTCCCGGTAAATGCGCTTCTTTTTCGGAGATAAAGAAAGACACAGCTCAATGTCGACGAAGGAAAGCGCCGCGTCACGTTGGTTTGTGATTGAACCCCGCAGAACTCATAATGTAGACAACACCGCCTTGTACTTGTGAGCACCGAGACGCCTCAGAGCGGCTTCGACGCACAAAAAAAAAAAAAAAAAAAAAAAAAAAAAAACACACAAACAGCGGCCGCTTCACGTGCGCGAGTCTCTTGGTTTTTCCGCAGGAAACGCAGATTGACCGCTAAATCCGTCGGGTTTTGTTCTTATCGCGCTTTAAAACTTACTCAGCACCACCATGAGAGTTGCTGCTTAGGTTTTTTTTTATATATTTTTTAATTTTTATTTTTAGCAATGATAACGAAGAGGTGAATAATGGGCTCTGCTGCACGGCAGACCAGCCCGTTCAGCTCAGAGGAACCAGGGAGAGCGACAAGGACGAGGAGAGGGAGAAAGAAAGGGGAGGGGAACTGACATTAAAGCAACACAACAAGGAAACTACGCTGCAGAGCCACAGACGCCTTCATTTTATGTTTTTGAATAATAGCCGGAGCCAGTGAGGCGAAGTGTCTCAGTGGAAAGGCAGAACCCCGGAGAGCTCCGGCTTCAAGTGTCCGGGGAGAAAGCGGCTTTTGGACCGAGCTGGATTTAAAGGCGCTCTCCGCCGCTTTCACAGACATGGGTGAGAATAATGAAAGAGGGCTTTTAATTGTGATTCTGACAGAAATTAACAGAAGGTGGGGGGGAGCAGAAAGCGGCGTACATACAGGCCTCTTCCTGCGGACTGAGCCTTGCCCTGTAATGGGAAGTGGAAGCAATAAAAGCCAGCACGGTTTAGCTGTAATTAATAAAATGTCCTTTGAGATGATCTGCAGATAAACAGCGACTCTTGGGGGTTGCCTTAAGTGTGCTATTTATGTAGCAGCATGCGGCAGTGCAGAGTGATGGAGGCTGCCATTACACTGAAGTCACACTCATTACAACAATGGATCATTCCTCATGATTTAACTTTGATATGTGAGAATTTCCTGCTATCAGCTTAAGAGTAACTTTTAAAAGCATCCGTGCTTCATAACAAGCCACGATGCTTGCTTTTTGCTCCTACGTGTGACCTGAGCACGTTTTCTGGGTTGAACTGTTTCTGTCTGTGTCCTCAGGATCAGAACCGCCAGGTTCCCCGCAGGTGGTGGAGGATGGAGGCGAGGAGGACGAGGAGGAGCTGAGTGGAGGCGAGGAGGCAGAGTTTCGGTCCAGCTCCGGAAGGGGCTCCCTCCTGACGCGGCGGGGCATCACCCTGAGAGTGCTGCTGAAGGATGGGCTGGTGGAGCCTGGAGACGGCGTGTTGGCCATTCACTACTTGGTAATAACACACATCATCGCTTGTAGAGTGAAGAATATAGCCGTGGATGTAATCTCATCATCTCCCTCTTCCCCAGGGCAAGAACTTTGTTGGGGATCTGCTGAACGACGGCAAGATCCGATGGGTGGAGACGGGTCAGATCTTCAACTCCCCCAGCGCCTGGGCGACACACTGTAAGCGTCTGGTGAACCCGGCCAAGAAGTCCGGCTGCGGCTGGGCGTCCGTGCGGTACCGGGGGCAGAAGCTGGCCCAATACAAGACCACCTGGCTGCACAAGTATCAACCCAGTGCAGACATGGTGAGGAGAGACAAGTGTCCCTAGAACTCTAGAGCTGAAATCAAATATTTGAATCCACATTTGGGTCGAAGTGTTTCTGAACAGTTTTAGAGTTGATAGTTTCTGCTAATGCAATAATCTGTAGATGTGACATGACAAATGTGGACAACGTTTTCAAAATAATAAGTTGCAAATCAAAAATCAAAATCAAATCAAATTTTATTTGTATAGCACATTTCAGCTACAAGGCATTTCAAAGTGCTTTACATCATAAACACAAAACACAAAGGCATGCAACATAGAATATCCACAAAATCAAATCCATACATATTACATTTCAAATGCAACTCTAAAACAGTGCGTTTTTACTTGAGATTTGAAGGAAGTCAGGGTTTCCGCTGTTTTACAGTTTTCTGGAAGTTTGTTTCAAGTTTTTGGTCCATAGATGCTGAAAGCTGCTTCTCCTCTCTTGGTTCTGGTTCTGGGGATGCAGAGCAGACCAGAACCAGAAGACCTGAGAGGTCTGGAAGGTTGATACAACAACAGCAGATCTTTGATGTATTGTGGTGCTAAACCATTCAGTGATTTGTAAATTAACAACAGTATTTTAAAATCTATTCTTTGAGCTACAGGGAGCCAGTGGAGGGACTTTAAAACTGGTGTTATGTGCTCTATCTTCCTGGTTTTAGTGAGAACGCGAGCAGCAGCATTCTGGATCAGTTGCAGCTCTTTGATTGATTTGTTGGACAGGCCTGTGAAGACGCTGTTGCAATAATCAATGCGACTAAAGACAAACGCATGAATGAGTTTCTCTAGATCTGGCTGAGACATTAGTCCTCTAATCCTGGAGATCTTCAGGTGATAGAAGGCCGATTTTGTTACTGTCTTATGTGGCTCTGGAGGTTCAAGCCGAGTCCATCACTACTCCCAGGTTTCGGGCCTGATCGCTAGTTTTTAGTTGTAATAACTGAAGCTGTGCATTGACTCTAGATCGTTCCTCTTTAGGTCCAAAAAATAATGACTTCTGTTTTATTTTTGTTCAGTTGGAGAAAGTTTTGGCACATCCACACATTTATCTGCTCTAAGCATTTATTCAGTGATTGGATGGGTTCAGAGTCTGGTGACATCGTAATGTAGAGCTGTGTGTCATCCGCATAGTTGTGGTAGCAAATATTATTTCCTGTTATGACCTGAGCTAGTGGGAGAATATAAATATTAAATAAGAGGGGTCCTAGGATTGAACCTTGGGGTACCCCGCATGTGACCTTTGACCTCTTTGATGAGAAGTTTCCAATTGAAACAAAGAAACCCTGTTCTTTATGTAGGATTCAAACCAGTCGAGCACCGAACCAGAGAGTCCAACCCAACTTTCAAGTCGATTCAATAATATGTCGTGGTCGACAGTGTCAAAAGCTGCACTGAGATCCAACAGAACCAGCACCGTGGTTCTCCAGTCCGTATTTATATGGATATCATTGAATACTTTTACGAGGGCAGTCTCCGTGCTGTGGTGAGCACGAAAACCAGACTGGAAAGTGTCAAAGCAGTTGGTCATCATGAGGAAACTATTTAATTGTTTACACACAGTTTTTTCAATAACTTTGCTGATGACAAAAAGAAAATCTGTCAATTTATTCAGTTATGGAGAAATTCTTAAAAGCAAGAATCATGTCTGTTCTGATAACCTATTCATCTTTTTCGCGATGCATTCCTAATGATTGCAGAGCATGGTGAGTGAGGAAGACGATGACGAGGATGAGGAGGAAGGGAAGGCGGCCGTGCAGGCCGACGAGAAGAACAAGAACAACAAATCTGGTTTGCATGGTCTCTTCTCTCCTCATATCTTCTATCTGATCGCCATTAAAAGCTGTTAACATCTTCATTTTGTTGCCAGACGTAATGGTTTCACGCCGAGCTGACAGGGAGAGGATTCCCATCAGATATTGCAGCTTAGGCACCAGGGATGCAGCCAGGTACTGCCTGCATTACAGTAGTATTTCAATATATATACATATGCGATGTGATGCACACTTTGCAACATCCGCAGAGATCCACACACGCTTGTGGAGCTGTCGGCGTTCTCGGCTATCAACAGATTCCAGCCATTCAATGTCGCCGTCTCCAGTAATGTTCTGCTGCTAATGGTCAGTTTTCAGATACTTCTGAGCAGCATATGGATTAGCGAGAAGCTAAGTGGCAAAGTCGGTTATTTGTTTGCATTTCTGCAGGATTTCCACTGTCACCTGACCACCAGTGAGGTGGTGGGGTACCTCGGAGGGCGATGGGACACAAACACACAATGTGAGCACGATGATACTCGAAAAAAATAAATGGCAGAAGGTCAAATTTTGTGCTCATCATCTTAAACAGTGTCTCTGTTTTTTAGTGCTGACAGTTCTAAGGGCTTTCCCCTGTCGAACCAGGCTGGCAGACAGAGACTCCGCGTCAGCTGTTGAAGAGGAGGTGAGACATCAGCAAACATTACTTGTCAACATGCACTCTGATCAACCCACTGCATACATTGCACACACACAAGTGGGATATTGGGCCAAAAGCTGGGCTAATTAACAAAACAGAAAAATGCCAAACTCTTTTTGGAAAGTTTTAGGCATTCATTCCTGCTCCAATATATACAATATCTTTGAGGAGAAAAAGTAACTTTTGCAGATTTGTTCTTTTTTAATAATTACGTTTCCTCCGTTCATGAACTAGAAAGTGAGTTAAGAGTCAGCTGTTTAACCATGTGCTGTCAAATTAATAAAAAAGGAGGCTTGCCTTTGTTTTCAGATATGTCAGAACCTGTTCATGCGTGGATTGTCATTGGTGGGCTGGTACCACAGTCACCCGCGAGGTCCCGCCCTGCCGTCCCTGCAGGACATCGACTCCCAGATGGATCATCAGCTGAGGCTGCAGGGCTCCAACAATGGCTTCCAGCCCTGTCTGGGCATCATCTGTGGTCAGTAACCACTCAAATGGCCGGTTGTTGATCTGATTTAACAGTGACTGCAGAGCCCATCAAGCGTGTTCCCTGATCAAGGACAAAAATATTATGGCATCAGAGTGGAAATTAAAACTTGAAAATGAGTCCATTCACTCCTCCAAATTGGCTACAAAGTGGCAAAAGGACCAGTGGATGATTTGGAGTCATCATCATAAACCCCCGAATGCCTTTCAATCTGTGCCTCAGACACAGTTTAAAAGATGTTTTTGCAAAATACTGAGCAAATACATCTAACTGTCTGAATTTGAGAGTAGTATAAAACTATCTTATGATATTCTATTATTTTGATCATTCTAACTGATCTAAAACAGGAAATGTCAGACAGGCATAAAGAAAAAAATGTTTCTGTTTATACAGTACATGTAGATATCTATTTTTATCGCTGCTGTGAAACTGGTTTCCTGTATGGACTTCTGTTTAATTTTGCAGCAAAAGAATGAATGAAAGTGAGTTTATTCCTGAATAAACCTTCTTGTTTCAACTTGAGTTAAACTTAAAAATCTTAAATTGAATTTCACCTTTTTCAGGGCCGTATTACCACGGAAATCAAGGCGTGGCATCCACAATAACGCCGTTCTGGGTCGTACCGCCACCTGAGGTCGGAAACTAACTTTCACTTCTCACCTTCTTGTTTTGTGGTTTGCCATGTGAGTCTTGTTATGTTCATTCAGAAAGATAAAGACATTTTTGCTCATGTTTTTCAAAATCGTTTTCCCTCCTGTTTGTAGCAAAGGCCTAATGACTATGGCATCCCTGTCGCTGTGGAAGTCACTTATGTACAGGACAACTTTCTCACCAGCGACGTTCTCAATGAGATGGTACTGTTGATGCCGACTCATACATATAAAGCCAAAACTGTATGATTTAATTTTAGGTGCAGCGAGACACAGTTAAGAGGATTCATGATTTTTTTTTTTTTTTTTATTTCTTCAATTTCCACAGATGCTTCTGGTTGATTACTACAGGACGGCGCCCGACCTGGTCCAGTTCCAACAGTACTGGTGTCCTGAGACAACCATGCTGGACAAGGTTAAGGTAATGCAGAGAGAAATCAAACAATTACCAGTAACTCTTTATCAAAGAGTCTGTTTGATAGTGAGTTTGATAATGAGTCTGTTTCTGCAGGGCTCTCTGAGTTGCCACGCCCCCAAAGACCAGGCCTACTCGCAGATCTTAGAGCACGTCTATAGTCAGCTGAGCACCACACACTGAGATCTGATCTGCACCTGTGACGCCATTTCCCTCTGTCTAGTGGCTGCATTTCAAAATGCCGTCACTGACTTGACCGAGTTGAAGTTAAATTCTGCTTGAAAAATGCAAAGATGGACACCTTGGATGATCTGAAGCTTGAGTGACAATGTTCATACAGCATTAAACACACTTCCTGGACTGGACGGGTGCTAAATATGTGAAGGTAGCTGCTGTTTGTGGTTGAGCTGCATTTTATAAGGATGGAAATAAAAATTGAAGCAAACACGATCCACTAAAAAAATATATATATATATTTAACTGGACACCATATGGACAGTAGAAGACCTTCGGCTTGTCAAAAATGGACCTATATACTGACCTGTGACTTTATCTGAACTTATCTTCAGATATTAAGATGTGGATGATTAGCACTGTTAAATGTCTTGTAATTACCTTTATACACTCAATGGGCATAGTAGTTGTGGGTACGCGGTGAAACATACACCAACAATGTATGCAATGGTGTTGGTGTCTGACCTAAACACTACTGTGCAGTAGATCCCTTTTATACTCCTGAACTCATATTTAAGGGTTGTGGTGCGATTATATCCACTAGTTCAATAAAACAGACGTGTTTGTGCGTTAGGTGCACTATATCGTGAACGTCTTCTTATCAGGTTGTGTGGAACATGAGCACTCTTTGCTAAGACAGATATTTGCTTCCTCTTGAACTGTACTGTATTTATTACTTACTGTTGACTATGTGTTTTACATGAATGCGGACAGAGCTATGCCTTAAGCCTGCTGATTGGTGACCCACTAAGGATTAAAATATACACACTGGAACCATTTAAACTTGACTTACTGTTTGTTTGTTCATTTTGTATATGTATTGTTACAACAGTGTTCTCATACTTGAAGTTTATTACGTTCAGTCACAGCCTAAAACTTCATCTGAAGAGGATTTTTATGACACTGACTGACTTGGAGCATAAATTACAAAGTGGAAGAAAAATACACAATTTTCAGATTTTTCCAAACTAAATTCAGAAATGCCTAATTGAAACCCAGTGCAATGATAATGGAACAGAGCAGTACAAACCAAAATGGTGTTATGAAGTGGAAAGAGTACAGAACTGGAAACATTCACAGGCTGGGGTCGTAGAGAATTATGTAGAGAAACGGCTCAAATAACCCTGGTAACTGTACAAAGACATTGTTTAAATCAAAGCATGATCATGAATCAAATTATATACCTAAATTCAGTAGGTGCAGACTAAAAACTAATGTTAGTAGATTGGATTATTTTGTAAAAATTGGCCCAAATAACTTGCACCTGTAATTGCTATACTTTTTTTGTTTTTAATTACTCGAAAGTTTAACACAAAAATACTCACTAAAATAGAAAATCTGAAAAAAGATCAATAATTGTAGTTGGAGCATGACAAGATAATTTGGTTTAAGGGATTTGAATACCTTTGCTGAGCACAATTAATGTCTGAATTCAAAATGAAAAACTTGATATTTTCCTCTTGACTTGATTCAAACATAAAAATTCAACATTTACTTTTTTTGACTTTTATTTTCTGTAAGAAGTTGGTAAACAGGAAATAAGAAGGAAGCACATACAAATATTGTGATAAAAAAAATATTGCAGGTAAAATCTGTATGCGTAACAAAAAGTAAATTAAATCTAGGGTACATACAAGGTGTAATATAGGTCTACATGCAATGATTATTTGAAATGCTTTAAGGTCTCTTATATAAAAAATAACACTATAGATTCATTTATTGCAGTTTAAGGAGGATGTAAGACTGGTTAAACAATTACATAGCCCTTTAAGAAATTAAGTGACTTAAAACAGAAAACAAAGATTTGAATATATTAAAAAGATAGAAAACAGTTTCCATGGATCTACTGATGAAATATTTGATCAGTCTGAACATGTCCAGGAAATTGCCTGTAGTGTCATCAGTGTGCAGAAACGTGCACACATACATGCACACATAAAAGTGCCAACGGGTAGAAACGAAAGCAATACAATTCATTACAACTTCTGAGTAAACGCGTAAGATTTGGTTGCTCTTAGTTCCCCTTTTGCTCTCCAAAGGCACTATCACATGCATGCTGGACTCTTGACTAATAACGTTATCATTACAGCACCTTTCATGTCTGTTAGCCTTGAACTACATACAAACATTGAGACATAGCATGGTCAGAGATGTAAACGTATTGGATGAGGACCACACACAGTGACGGAAGAGTCAGGCAGCTGAATTGAGATGAAAGGGACGAAATAAGACACAAAACGCTGAAAATGATTAAAAAGCACAGAACTGACACAATTAGAACTCCACAGACAACCTTTACAATTCAGAGATAAATCGTTTGGCAACAATTTGTGGCTTAAATTCATCCAGGCGGACAGCGGTTTAAAACCATGCCGATTCTCTCGGATGTTTTCCCTTTTAAATATTTCTCATTCTCACACACCGAGCTGTGAATGTTGGGTAAGACTTCACCGGCGGATCTGGACGGTTCAGAACAAGAAGCCAGCCCTGTTTGAACAGTCAGCCAGAGACAATAACACATCTATCATGTCCAACTTACAGAATAACAGGTTCAGACTATGATCGGATTCACATTATCTGAGACATGAGGACAGACAGAAAAAGCAGTTAGTGGTGAATATAAAAGACTAGCTCGCTGCCAGCAGCGTCATCTATTCAGCCACTGTATTATGTTACGTGGTGCCAAGAACAGGGCTCAAAAAGGCCTTATAAAGGGGGAAAAAATGTTGAACATGCTTCAATAAGAAGGTCAAAAACTACACAAATACATGCCTGTGTTATAGGATTATTGGCGGAACAACCATTTAAAATGAATGTTTCTATTGCATTTTTACACTTTTTGGCTCTGCCTCCTTATTTAAACAAACTGACAAAAAGGTGCAACCTCTGCATTTACCTTTGGGTCTGTGTAAAATGATAGAGAATGTCTGTAATATGTTAATCTCTTCTGAAGCCCAAGGTGCAGTTACATTTCCTCGCACGCAACGTTAACCAGTCAGATTCCTGAAAATGGTGAAGGCATCACAACGGAAACACTGAAAACAAAGATAACTACTGTTAAATATGTTGGCTGCTGAACAGCCATTTGAAATTAACAAATAAACAAAAACAAAAAAAAATGAAGTAAGGCCAAATTTTTAAAACAGTCCAAATATGATTATTTGCCAACAAGCTTCTTTTTGTTACACAGCTACTGCAACAATATTTATTTATGGGTAATGTCAATTTAGTGGAGGTGGAAGTAATTTTCTGTCAGGCCAGAAGGTGGCGTCAAGGCTTGCACTGCAATACTCTGACGGAATCGCAAATATTTTCTGTTTTGCAATTATACTCTTCAGTCAAGTTCTCATGAGAGTCAGTGTGAAGTTGGAGCTACAAAGCTACTCTATTGTTAGGTTGACCACCTACCTGAGTCACAGAGACTGTTGTCGGATCTGTCAATCCACCTATGATTATAAGGGAACTTAAAATCATTTCTGTCACCTATTTGTGATGAAAATTTATTACTCATCTTTTTGTCAACAGTTAGTCCCCAGAAAATTCTTGTTTACTGTCAGATGCACGATAAAAATGTTTTGTCTCAGTCCTAGTCTGGCTGCTTTTTTTCTTTTCTGTGGAAAACGTTGGTGTTCTGCTTTGATATCACATCTGGATCTTGTGTTTACAAAAAGTGCTCACTCCTGGTGATGGCGATGAAGCTCAAAGTGAAAATGAAACCCTTGTGGACTATCTCATGTCTTCACTCGTCTTCTTCACCACACTGTTCACACGTCTCAACTTCTCTTAGCATTTTTGTTTGTTTTAGTGTGGCAATGGAACGAGGACCTCCACGTAGTTGAGAGGGAAGAATCCCGACTGGCCATTTATCATGCCCTCATACCAGTTTTCATCAATTTGATTGGTCAGGATGATGATGTCGCCTTCGTGGAAGCCCAGCTCTCCCTCATTCTCTGGCTCGAAGTCGTACAGGGCCTTACAGCTCGGCTGCTCTGGGGCTGGTAGGGACGGAGAAGAAGAAAAGATGAGAATAGCAGAGAAAAACAACGGTCCCAAATCAAATCCAGTAATGAAAGAATTGAGTCACGCAGCACATCTTTAGCAGGAAACTTAAACGTTTGATGTTAGTGTAACATTAACACAGCCTTCAAACAAGTTAAGGGGATCTGCCAGGAAAAATCTCTGAGTATAAACATCCCTGAAAACCAGATTTCTGCCCCTGTTCTCTTTACTTTCTCTCTCTTGTCTCTGACCTCATGCAGATCAGCAGAGATTTTCACACAGACAAACCGGGCTTTTTTTTGCAGCTGAACAATTTTCTCATTGTATCACGTTCGCACAACATGCTGCCGGGCAGGCTAGAGACGGGGAGAGTTTGGTCACACACTCGTTCACTCAATACAATATCATCAGCTCACGGGCAGAAAAATAACATTTAATGCAAAAGAATACAGACAACTTTAGGGAGGTGTTAACACATTTTCAATAACAAACATGGGGGACAATATTATAGGTGTCTTAACTCAACCGTTTAAAAAAAGAAAAAAAAAAATGGGATCAGCTTTGAAAATATTTGTAAATATTCAATCCTAAATGGGAAAAGTTAATACATTGCTAGATATGACAGATCATCTTTCGGCATGTAAGTTATTACACAATTAGATCCTAAAACCTACATATATAAAAAATAAAATTGTCATACGTAGAAATAGATGTGTATTTTGGCAAGATTAAATCTAAACTTTTAACCAAGCGGTTGAGTTTTTCAACTGTCTGGCATCAACGAACAGACAGCCTGTCTGCTGCAGAGCGAGAAGTCGGCTTGCTTTGGAGTAGCTTTCTAGGTTACAGAACATCACAGCAGAGCTCACATGTAGCTCCAAATTTTGAGGGAGAAATTTAATCCTGATGTGGCAGCAGATGGGTTTGCTCAGAGGAACAGCGAAAACAGAGCAAATCTCTAGTTGACATGGAAACAAAAACAATCGGATCCCTGCAATTCTCGTTTATTATGATTATTATTATCATAGCATTTTCAGTATGTGCAATATCACAATCTGGGTACAGCATTTGAGCTACAACATTTCAGGCACTCTTCTTGCCAATAATGCATTTTTCCACTGGGGAAATCTTTTATTGTCCACAGCTGATCTAGAGCTTGGTGACCAGCATGCAAAAGTTTAAAGAGCGGTAAAGAAATGATGACTAGAGGGGGGAGGAACATCTGCATTGCAATCAAAATTGTCATCGCAATTTTAAACAATGACATTACGCATTTATGTTGTCCTAAACTCGTGCAATCATAATTCTTTTCACCAATTTTGTAAAGACCTCACTTACTAATTTTACTCAATTCCAATGTTTCTTTAAAAATTACAAACCAAACTAGCCTTTTTCCCCCTACATGAACAGTAAAATGAAACGAGTTTCTCAGAAACAGCTCAAAGACAAATATTTCTCTTTTTAAACTATCCTTACTCTTTGTGCAACAAATAAACCAAACTACCAAAAATTACAGGATACAAAAAAACTGTGTGATCATCACAGCCTCAGCTTTATTCTTCTTTGTTCAGAAGTACAGCATTTTGGAAAACATCCACTTTTATGAGCTGTATTCAAACAAAATAACAGAAGTATCCAACTTTTTATTTGTGAAGAGAAAAGCTCTGAAGTAGTGTTACGTGTTGGCTGGTTAATCCTTTCAATCATTAATTTTAACTACAGAGTAGCCTCACACAGCCTTCCTGTCATAAGGAACTATTTATATTAATCGCCTTCTTTTTATATGCTTGGCTTCACGCAGCAGTCTGTGTCACAGCTCTGATGTTATAAAAACAGAGGACAAATATTCAGATAGAAATGGTAATGCAGCATTGATATATTACATGCAAAACTAAGCAGCGGCAAGAGTAAGAAGAGATCTTTGGTAAATTTTAACCATTTTTTTCCCTGAAATATCCTAAAATCAGACAGCAATATTTTTTAAAATTGAGAGTTAACATTATTAGAACAAAGGTAGGTAATTAGATCTATAAAATGTAATGAAAATCACACTTTGAAGTCTAGTTTGGCATCCAAAGGATAGGATGAGAGATTAAAGCAAAACCATACAGTTGCTAAACAAGACACATAAAGAATACACACCACACAAAGAAGCATCTATTTCCTGAAAATCTAATCAGAATTTCACTCATACACACACACACACATACACACACTAATGCATCATTCCAAGGCTGCAACTTGGACACATAGTCGGTGACTCACACAATCCTAGCTTCCGAAAGGACAATGTTGCAGAGAGAAAGGACTGTTCTGCTGATGTCACAGGAAAAGAGGAACAAGGTCAGTGGGAGAAAGGCCAGCCAGATAACAGGGTGGGCCAGAGTCACCAATTGCTCACACTGACATTGGTCAACAGCTAAGTGATGTCACTTCAGCATCCAAAAAGTCAAACATTCATAAAAGCCTTCATCAGACTAGAGGAGTAGAGGAATTTCTCTATTTTTTTTTCCCCTCATGGTACTTATTAGTTGCAGTTGTTGAGTAATCATGTTGGCAACATACAGTGTTCCTGTAAGATTTCAGGGAACTTTATTGAAGACACAATGCTCTGACGCAATCATCTATTTGACTTTATCGAAACAGCTGGATGCCTTGTTGTTTCTGGAAGTTTGAGAAAGCAGATCTTATTACATATCTAACCAGTCACATTTCACAGAGGTTTTGAAATCTGAAGAGTGCAATAAATTTATTGATTTTGTAATCTGTGTCTTACCTGAGTTGCGGGAGGGAGGTGGTGCCATTGAAGATGTATAACCTCCATTGGAGTGGTTGTTCTCTCCGAAGTCAAAGATAGGTTTGGGTTTAGGTATGTACTCTCGTCTTGGCCGAGACTGAGCTTCAGTCATCCTGTTTGAAATGACATTGGAAACAATCCTTATAAATGAATTAGCTTAAATTCACTGTGCAGATTTGGAGTGTCTCAGAGCAGAGACAACAGTCACTTGACGAAAACGTGTCGTTTTGGCTTTGTGCGCGCATCTTTTGATTTGATTTCTGCACCAACCTCTCTTGCAGTTTATCGGAGAGCTCCTCCAGCACTTGGACGGCTTGTTTGTGATACTGAAGTTGAGACTCAACGAGAGATGAAAGCTGGCTCACCTGCTCTATCTGCACACACACAAACATGTCATAAAAGACATGCAGACTCCTGTTTCTGAGTTTATGCAATAGGATGTCATTTTAAGAGATAAACAGACCAAACTTGAAAACAATAGGTTCAAAAGCAACAGCATCTTCCCACATTCAGAACAGAATTAGATCCAGACAAATGTAAGCTAATGTTATCTTGGACATCTATTTTTATGTGGGTATTTTTTCTTTGCAGAAGGAGAAGTGTTTATGTAGCAAATGCTGCAAACCAGCATATTAATAGCCAAAACTAACTTGCAATGGCAGGCCTATGATTATTTCCATTCATACAAGGAGCAGAGCAACTTTAAGCAAATGTTACAATATCAATTATGTATGTAGTACAAGGTGCTGAAACCAAAAATGATGCATTTTTTGAATGTCATTCAAATCATTACACTATTAATTGCAACAAAATATGTTCCAGTTTTTAAGAGGTTAGGATAACGTCGTAGGAGGTCTGAAGATCAAAACTGAACTTTTAGCAAACAAGATTACTAATACAGACGTTGTAAAACATTCCCACACCCTGACAGACAGAAAGCTGAAATTAGAGTCCCAATCACAGCATTTTCCAAGAATCACCTGGTATCCTAATTTCTGTTATTGGTGTAACGTTTGTGATTTTGCGGAAAACACACTCATACGTGCATTTTGTAGTGCTAACGTTGTTATTAGCTGAAAAGTTTGCAGATTGAATTAAGAGGAAAAAAGACAATGAGCTAAAACGCAGAAATAATATTTGAGGAAATCAGATTTCTATAGCAAGAAAGAACCAAGAGAAGCTGTGGTGGGTAAAACAAAGGAAGAAAGAAAAGTGCAGACAGATTGTTTTGAAGACTTGGTGACTACAGAAATATAACTAAATCTTCCTAGAGCTAGTATGTTTGGACTGGTCCCTTAAATAGAAGGTTACCAGCTCGCAGGAGGTTCTGTTTAGAGCAATAAGCACAGAAAAATTGGGAGATAAATGTGACATGTAACACAACTTTTTGTGTGTGTGCTCATCTTTTTTCAGAACATATCCATGTATTTATTGCCCAGATTTACTTAATTTCAGTGAAAAAGCTATGAAAGTGTTAAATACTAATAAAAGCCTCAATGTACCATAAATCACAAGCTTGTCTCGATAGATGGTGGTGCTGTATACTTCTGTATATTCGTAGGCGGCTTCATAATAAAAAAAGAAAATCGGCCCCAAACGCACTGCAGCGTTAGTTATGTAGGACAAAAATCAGAACACTAATGTAGGGCATAAATTGTGTGGTGTGTTATTTGGCTGCACTTCAAAGCTACCAATTTTTCAAGCATACGGATAATTTTGATTTGGTGAATATTATTGTTACATGAAATTGAGACTCAGTGTGAACAAAAACCTAATCTTAAATGACTGATTTGGAGACTTAACAAAATACATGATATATAATATCGCATGACTGGACTCCTTAAATTCAGCCATTTACAAGTCTTAAGTATTTGACTCTTCCAAGTGTTGTGACCGTGCCCGATAGGTTAAATGATCACAGGTGAACCACTAAATGCTATAGTTTGTCTATGTGTATAGTGGGTGTGTTTGGTTAAGTTTTATAGATCTAATGAGCAGAGTTTATGTTTGCCCTGTGGGTGTGTTTGACAAAACACCATAAGGGACAGAAAGAAAAATACAAACTTTCACAGAGTAGCAAATGATCTGATGACATAAATAAAGTTCAAGTTTCCATGAACCAGGTAAATTATACACAGTAAATACCAAAGTACAATAAGTAAACAACATAATGATATAAACATTTCTGTGAGAAGCCAAAACTATGCTACTTCAACAAGTAATTTGAGAAACTTGAGTAGAAGGATGACTAAAATAGGTAAATAAAAAAGCTCAGAAAAAAAAAAACCCAATTAAACTTCTGGATGTAGTTACAAGCTCTGATGTATTAAAAATAAAACCAGACGGTTTAACTGTGGGAAGTGCTTACATCAGTCTCCAACAGGTTGTACATGCTGGTCTCAGCCACTTCCTTTGACTCATGAAACTTCTCCAGAGCCTGTCGAACTTCCTCATCTGGAATCTTGCCCTGACGCTTCTTCTTGTAGTCGTAATCCAGCCGACGGCCTTCAAGCTTCTTCAGATGATGCTGAATGGGGTCACAGTTACAGCTTAGTTGCCTGTGCTATTTGTCAGAAGAACTTTTTAAATGTAATATTTCATATCAAAAGTACATTTTTACCTGAATCTCTCTAAGGTCCTTGTCACACAGACTTTGTAATGGATCAATAAAGTTCTGTTTTACATCGATGTCTAGAGAGTCCTTCACTTCTGCTAACCGCTTCATGGCCTCTCCTACATCCACTAGAGCAGCCCCTGGATCACAAAGATATTTAAGAGTCAAACATAATTTGTAATATTATATGACAAACACTCAGTTCAACCTTTAAGGCGTAAATAAATTAATGCATGGATGTGAAATAGTTCGAATAGACAAAAAGAACCTGATATACATTGTGTGAATAGCTTCCAAGCAACTCGCAAAAGAACATTTAATAACCAGATGCATCTACTTGGAACACTATAAAGTTACAATAAAATACTGCTGAGGATTCACAACAAAAAACAAGGACATCTACACATCTCACCAAAGTTAGTGTCTTCTCCGAGTTCCCTTCCATACTTGGCCATGCACTCTCCTAGCAGGCCTTCAGCCTGAGGATAGCCTGGATTCTTCACCTGACCACGGATCTTTGACATGGTGTTCAACATGGACAGTTTTGCCCGTGATGCTTTAGAGGTAAAATGAAGAAGAAATTACTCAAATTACAATTTCATAGATAGATCAATGGCAGCAGTTTTATTTCAAACCTGGGTTGGGCTGAAGGTACTCCGATGTTTTGGAGATCACCTCCGCTACTGCTTTACTGGTCACATCAACTTTCTGCAAAACACAGCAGGCAAAAAACATCATGTTGCATCTGTACTTTGGCAAATTCGACATGGAGATAAGGAAATAATCTTTACTTAGATCTATCCAAATGCTAATTATGCTACTAACAAGAGTAATGTTTGCACTGATACATGACCTCCAAAGTTATTTTTTCTAAGAAGTTGTTTTTTTGTTTTTTCAGAGCATGCTGGATATCTGGGAAGAATCACCAAATGTTTCTGATTTTTTTTCTATTATGTCCTTAAACTGCTTGTTGTGTCTTGAAAACGGAACGTTATGAGCAAAAGAGCACAGATTCCATTAACAAGGTAGAAATTGTGTTTAATGCAAAAGTTATGTTGACCATTTTTATTTTTTTACATTTTCAGTCCAATTGACAATTACACTTTATGGACTTTTCCATTTTGTCTAAAGCCTAAACTTCAAAAACCAAAGAAAAAATCAAACTTTTGCATTTAATGTCCTATTTTTCCCATAAAAAAGTATAATATCTGCTTGTGTACTGTGTAAAATCATTCTGTGACATATTTCATACCCGTTCCAGGTCTCTGAAGTCATCATCTAGTTTGGTTCCTTCTGCGCCACCAACTTTCTCACTAACCATCTACAGGGGAGAAAGAAAGAGTGACGGGAAACAAAGGATGAGACGTGACAATTTTAGTGCAAATTTAGTATCACTACATTTGTGACTTTGATCTGAGAGGAAAAAAAGCGGAAGTGCATTATGAATATCCAAATAGTGGCTTTGCAATATTTGCATCAGTGATGCAGTTCAGCGTCTGAAACCTTTTATCGGTGTAACAAAACCCGTGAAGCAAAATGACTTGTGTAAAAAAAAAGGAAAAAGGAGTCTCTGACCAGTTAACTTAGATACTTTTATCTCTAACATGTAGCATCTTAAAGACACTCTCTTATGATTCTCTTTAAATACATTATAAAACAACGTAAAAGTCTAAAACAGAAATAAAAGCCTCAGCTACAGACAACTGTGTCCAAATTTCCCCTGATACATCACTCTTTTGTTTTATATTTCTGATCTGTTCAGCAAAAATCCACCCCAAAATACTCCTTGTAGTTTGCATCACTTTCTGCAATAAATCTACATCACAATACATTTTAAAACAGTGCAAAACACACAAACAGCTGCTTGCAACAGATCTTTTACTCTTTTCACCACACCAATGTTAACTTTAAAATTTCCTCTCCTACAGGAAACATTTCTAGCTGTACAAATACTAAAGTCAAGCTGAGGCTGTGAACAGGAAATATAACTCTGAACAACACCTGTACTCAGCACAATGTGGTTTACATTTTCCATAGCATTAGAGTAAATGTAACACAGGCAAAAATAAAATAAAAACAAAAATATTCTTACCTATTGCTAAAAATATATACAAAGAAAAACTGTTTAAGTTCCATTTGGATTTCAAAGTTTTCCTTGAAGTAAATGTTTTCAATAGAATCTACCATGCAGTATTTTAAGATGTGAACAAACTCTTGTATAGAATGGTGTAATGTAAACATCCAGTTCATAGTTTAAGAGGTTATGTTCATTTTCTTAGCTTTAATGTAATCATCTCTTACAGAGAGCCAAACGTTTGGCTTATTCATCTACTATGCAACTCAAAGTTGTGACCTCTGTGTGATAACTGAACAAATATTTAAAACTTTCAGCTCTGGTCACATGGTTTAACATTGTTCTTTAAAATTTTTTCCACCTTAAATTTTAGAAATACTTTTCAAAACAAGAGTGCCCTATGCTGATATCTTCAATCTGCACCGCTATTATGCATCTGCTGTGTGCAGGCAGCACATGAGGGGAGTTCAATTATTACTCATATGCAAACAAAAGCCGTAAAATGCAGCATAAAAATTCTATTGTTAGCGTTTTGGTATAAACGAACCAAAGAGCTACAAAGAGAGATTAGTGTCTAACAGAGACCTTTTTTCATCTTCATAATTGTGTTTTATCCAAATACTTCTTTCTCCCTTATCACAAAGCTTTGATCAAATTTTCTTTCTTTTCTCTGTTGACAAAGCCTGCAAAGCTGATTTCTACAGAGAGAGCTGACACACCAGGAAAACCAAAACACCTTCAGTGGCTTAAAGCTCACAAACAACAATCTAAGGAAATAACTTCAGCATGCATGATGATATTCACGTTGAAGTTATGATATGCAAAACAAGGAGTATGGAGTGCAGAATACAAAAACAAAATAGGAGCGCAGGAGCGGTGGATTAAAATCAGACTTTTAAAGTCGATGCTAAAAATGATAGAGCTTTGCGAACATAGCACCTGAGAAAACTAGATGTCAAGAGGAAATTACTCAGCTGACCACATGTTAAAAAGCTCTGGTGTGTCCAGGCACACAGCAGCATTTCAGGTTGAAAGAAAGCTGACGTCCATTCCTTCGGTAGGCTTTCTGCACTCTGGTAAAAACATCAGCCTTCTAAAATGTTTAAGTCAGGGCCATTCCGCTAGTGGAAAATAAGATGTAGTTATTGTGGTATTTTTCATGGGCTGTGAAACCAGGTCATTTTCAGCTCTCAGAAAAGTCTCCGGTTTCAGTCAGAGCTGCAACCATGGACGGCGCCATTGTTTTGACCGGTGTGTCGATAAGAGACCAAGGCTGTATCTGTCTCAACGTTATCTGTGTGGAGGACATTTACAGTCAGTCTCACCTCATGAAGAAATTTGCTCATCAGTAAATACACAAATTAACTAAGTAGACCTTTCCATCGCCTTTCCATTTGGATAATACGCAGTTATAAAATATGTTCAATATGTTGAGAATATTGAAGACCTCTTCACTATTCTCAATATTTGCATAATCTGCAAAAACGTATCATCATGACTGCCCTGCATCTGTAGCATCACACTATAACCTGCACCTGTCAGGAATGATTAAAGACAACAAAAAGCAATCTGAGGGTTATGTTACAAATATCATTCCTGCAAACCAACTTAATCCCAAATCAGATCCACACACCACTCACTAATCTAGACTAATCCTTCCAGACTGAACAGTGGTTTAGTATGATCGGCATCACAATTCAAAGAATACAGAAATTGCAATGTGTGTGCCACTCTTTTGTGACTCATCATGGCCACTCACATTTATACAAAAAAATTCAATGTAATGCAACAAAAATTACAGTTTTGGTCAGGTTAACGTGGGAATCATTAAATCTGAGAAACCAAAATGATTCACTGTCAAATCTTAAAACCTGTCATACAAAAATACTCTAAGCTTTATGTGTATCAACAATTTTATACTCTGTGACAAATTACTTCTTGTGTTTAACCAGTATTACCCTGTAACATATTTATTTATTAGAATTTTCAACCAGTATATCATTTCACCCTTGAGAGACATTTCAGGGTTAATATTTATTGTTTAATAAAAAGGCAGAGACAGCGAAAGACGAACGAAAATAAAACAACCTGTAAGCACATACATAATTTCCACAGCCAACTTTCCTCCTGTGAATAAAATCTGAGCTATGTGGAGTGTTATTGCCTCGCACTGAGTTTTGGCAAGAAAAGCCGCTGCAATGCAGTGAAATAAAGAGAAAGCACACACTGTCCACCTTCCCTTCGCTGCATCCGTCCTTTGGATCAATTCTCATGCACGGACCTACTTTATCTCTTTTTTTCTGCTGATCATTTGCACTACAGCATTCACTACAGCTGTCCTACACAACAGCCGCTAAATCACAATATTTTCCCTTTACTACAGGGATCTGGTTTTGTTCCTGACAGGAAGTTGGAGCAGAAACCAAATGTCTTTCCTGCTTAGATCAGCAGGGGTAGGGAAAACAGACAAAAAAAAAATTTTTAAACAGTCTCCTCCCATGACTGGGAGAGATGCCCCAAATTAAAAACATTCACATTAAAGCTGAGACAAGAAAACAAACGTAGATTTTCACTATGTGTACTGGAAGGAAAAGCAGGTTTTCAAACATACTAACCAGGATTGAAAATGAGATATTTGTGTTTTGAATATGATGATACATTCGAGAAAATGTTGTACTACTTAAAAAGCAGTTATAAAATCACATTTTCATTGGTCAACCCTTAAGAGTTACGCTGCTTTTTTTTACGATGTTGTTTTCTCTTTTTACAACATGACTCTTCCTTCAGCAAACACATCCAAGATTCCCCAGTTTGGATACCTACACAAACTAAATTGTTGTAGTTTGTAAAAAATATATATATATATATATATTTATATATACATATATTTACAGGGCAGATTTCAGATTTACAACGCGTTATTCACCAGTTATTTACGTCCACTTGACGTCTGAGTGACTTTTATCAAATTTACGGTAAAATAAAGTGAGCAAATGAAAAGTAATTGCAACATTTTCACCCACTACAACAACAAGTTGTCAAAAACATCCACCGTTATCTAAACGAAGCGGCGTTTAGCTTCACTTTGTTTGTTAGCTCGGAATGCTACATGCATTTTAGCTAGCTGCTAACGGTAACGGTTAGAAAAGTTTTTGCAAACCTGACTGGCTTTATAAAACTGCTTCTTCAAACCCGCCACAGACATGTTGAGACCCGGCTGTCGTCTGCCCTTCTACTGTTGGAGGTGTACACAGGTCACAGTGTAGGAAAAAAAAAGTTAACGTTACAGTTAGTCAGAAAATGGGCCAGTGCAGAAAAAAAAAGAAAAAAAAAAAGCTAACGCTTTCTGGGGGAATCATAGGTCTGCCGATCCGTCACTCCAAGACGGGACACGCCAACTGACCACGTCCACAGTGAGAGTGGGTGCTGCCGCTGTCACAGAGAGCGGGGCAGAAACAATAAAAAAAAGAAAAGAAATGAAAAAAATTATAATTTAATAATCTGAACTGGCAGGCTGCTTTTACATCGTCTCTAAGTCTCTGGCAAACACTAAAAATATTTATTTGACTGCGTAAATGTCGGCGACGCAATGTTCTCAATAAATGAAACCACAATGCCCTCTGCTGGATACACGAGGAAGCACCAGGGAACACTATGATACACTAAAAACACTATAATAATAATAATAATAATAATAATAATAATAATAATAATAATAATAATAATAATAATAATAATAATCATCATCATCATTATTATTATTGTGATTATTATGATTATTGGGGCCTGCCCATAGCAATGCATAAGGAGAGCAGTGACTGACTTGCAATTTAAAATTGCCAATCTCAAGCTCAATGAAAACTTCAAAATAAAAGCCTTAAGATTTGTTTGTGGCTAATGCAGTGCCACTGGCGCTGCAATGATATTAGCTTGCATGATCTTTTTCCCTCCGGTTAGGGCTCTGCCTTGCGCAGCAAGGCAGAGCATTAACATCACAAACATTAGCATTTTATTGTTCCCCACTAGTGCACTGCCATAGGCAGTGCAAGAAGATTATCCTGCATAATCTTTTTCACTCAGGTTAGGGCTCTCTGCCTTGCGCAGCAAGGCAGAGCATTAGCATTAGCATTTTACTTTAAATGAGGTATTAGCTATTTCCCTTACTTATTACCCATGTTTAGTATACTGAAGGCAGTAAGTCATGCTTGTGACAGTAAGTCATGCTTTCTTTAGCATGGATGCTAATGTTTAGCATCAGAACGCTGGGTCCAAACCGACGGGCACACTTTGGCAAGCCCCGGTTAAATTTCTTCAGGAATTTTCTAGTATAGCTATTGATAATATTTATATTGGTAATATCACTTTTTCTTTGGTGGTGGGTTTTTGGTATTAAGTTGTTTACTACATTGGGTGCACACATTTTAGTAAATGCTTGGTTTATTTAGAATATTAAGTATTTTGTTTTTGGTTGAGTTGAAGGACTGGCTGGGAGGACTTGATTGTCTCAAACCAGTAATTGGAACGAACCATCAGGCTGCGGGAAGCAGGGAATTTGATGTGGAAGACTCCTCCTCTCGCTCTATTGTTATAATATTTACAGTGTTAGGTTGTGATTTGAATTGTTATTTATGTTTATGTATTGATTGTTTTTGTTTTCTCCCCCGCCCCTCCTTGTGTGTGTGTGTAGGCTAGCCTTTGTATATAAATTCCCCTGTGCGTTCATTGAGAAGAGTCAGTTAGTTTTGTTTGTTGAGTTTGTTGAGTTGATTGTTTTTGGGCCCATTTTTCTTAAATTTCTTTTTGAGATTTGTTGTAAAAACATCTTTTCTTAAGCTCTTTTGAAAAAATAAATAGTTATTTTTTTATATATGCCTTTGTCCTTGAGTTTGCTGGTCGGACCATTACATTGATCATAGATAGACAAGTTCCTGTTCACAATCAACTACATGTATTTGGTATTAACTGCCTTTGTGAAACACAATAATTCTGTGGAAAAACGGATAATTTCTTCAAATTATATAATTCTGTGGAGATTCATAGATTAGTGTCATAATATTTTAAAGGTGACTTTATTCTATCTTTTAAAACATTTTTAGGTTGACATTATTAAACTCTGCAATAATAGATTGTCTCCAATGTGTACTGTTTCTTTTTCATCATATAGAGGATCTGTAACAATAGCCGTTTCAGTAAAATGCTTCATATAATAACTTTGTTGTACTTGTGTTGCAGCATCTTTAGCTTCTCTCCTGCAATAATGGCTTCTTCTGAATGTACATGTTCCTGGTTAAATCAAGGTATTTTGTAAATGAAAAAATATTCTATTTGGTGTTTGTTTTACTAAAAATTCGGTACTTCACTCTGATGCAATCTATTGCAGTCTGTTCCTCTTTGACCCTTCCGTTTGAGAAGCATATAGAAATTACATGCAATTAAAAGAAATAAAATAATTACATGCAATTAAAAGAAATAAAATAATTTCATGTAATTAAAAGAACGATTTTAATTACATGTAATTAAAAGAACGATTTTAATTACATGTAATTAAAAGCACGATTTTAATTACCTGTAATTAAAAGCACGATTTTAATTACATGTAATTAAAAGAACGATTTTAATTACATGTAATTAAAAGCACGATTTTAATTACATGTAATTAAAAGAACGATTTTAATTACATGTAATTAAAAGCACGATTTTAATTACATGTAATTAAAATAACAATTTTATTGCATCTTAATTAAATGTAATTAAAAGGACGATTTTAATTACATGTAATTAAAAGAACGATTTTAATTACATGTAATTAAAATAACGATTTTAATTACATGTAATAAAAAGGACTATTTTATTACATCTTAATTACATGTAATTAAAAGAACAATTTTAATTACATGTAATCAAAAGCACGATTTTAATTACATGTAATTAAAAGCACGATTTTAATTACATGTAATTAAAAGCGCGATTTTAATTACATGTAATTAAAAGCGCGATTTTAATTACATGTAATTAAAAGAACGATTTTAATTACATTTTAATTATATATATGTAACGGGTATTAAGATGAAATTCTTGCTAAAATGTTTTGTAATTACCATGTGATGAATGGTTTTTGGCGCCCCCTACTGGTTGCCTATAAATACAAAGCTAAACCGTAAATTCCACGCAGTCTGTTGAGCGCTCTACTGTGGTAAGTCACCAAATCCAGTTCTTTTCTGAATAGTCATAGTAGGTGTGCTCAAAGACTGACGTGGAGTTTTATTGCAGTATGCGGAGAGCTGATGGACCAGTAGTGGAGCTCACTGTACTAATTTGTGTTGACCATTTATTACAGGTAATTATATTATATTATTTATTAGTAAATTATTTTGTCAGTTATGTTTGTCAGTTTTTCTTCAGTTGAGTTGTCGGTTTGTCTGTTGTATTGTCGGTTTGCTGTATTTACCAGCTTGTCAGTTTGTTTGTTCCCTGTTTCAGTTAGAAGTTACTGTTAATTAGTTTATTAGTTAAATTTGATTGTTGTCTGTCTATTTTTTTTCTTTATTTATAGGAAATAGACCAGATTGTGTTAAATTAATTTTAAAGAAGTATTAATAATCAAATATCACTATACGATCGTTTGTTAGAAAAATATGTTGTTAAGCCAGATTGTAATGATTGTTTGTGACGCAGTCTGTTGAGCGCTCTACTGTGTATGCGGAGAGCTGATGGACCAGTAGTGGAGCTCACTGTACTAATTTGTGTTGACCATTTATTACAGTTATTACAGAAAATTCAACCAACTGGCCTCCTCTGTGTGTATGACGGGACGGGCATAAAGGGGAAGCTGTTACATTGGTGCCGTGACCTTGGACTACAATCAAGCTCGTGAACCTGTGACCGTCCTGTCTGCCACATCGGGTTTTGAATACATTTATTCACATTGTGTATAGTTTCATGTTCACAGTAACATTTCAGGACAGTGAAAAGACGTTGCTGTACACTTAAACCTTTATGGAGCATTAGAGTAATATACTATGCAAATTGTTCTGACTTATTTTGTTTATTATTTGTTTATTCCAAATTGATGATTTTATTTCCTATTGTGTTTTGGATTTTGAATATCTTTCCACTTGTTAAACTCCCTGAACAATGTCTAATCAAAGTAACCACTTTTGGTTCAGCACACCCATTAGTTTTGGAAGAGGAAGAGGTGTGCTTGCTCCCATTCCTTTTTCTGTTGATAGTCCTGCTCCTGGTGGTCTTATGCCCTCATTAGATGAAATTCCTAGTGCTAGAGTCCATAATCCTACTAGTGACAGTTCTGAATGTGTAACTGCACAGATGAAATCTGTTTTACAAGAGATAGGACATCAGCTGGCTGACAGCATCATTTCACGCATACAGCCACATATCACAGTTTCTCCCAGTTCTACAGCCACACACACTGCAGGGAGTACTGTGTGTCAGTCTGGTTGTGTATCTGATGTATCCCAGGTTCAGGTTGTCTTGCAGAGAAAGGTCAAAGAACCTCCATGTTTTGCAGGTAATGGCTCAGACTCCATTACAGTGCATGATTGGGAAGATCAGATGAGAACATTCATTAGGAAAACTGATGTTAAGATTGAAGAGCAGGCTGAGGAAATCCTTATGCATCTAAGGGGAAAGGCTAAGGATGTAGTTAAGTTTGGGATTAGAAATAGTAACATTAACATCACTGCTCATCCTGACATGATTTATAGTCTCCTCAGAAAACACTTCAGCTCTTCTAAATACTCTGCTGTCCCCTTAGCTGACTTTTACTCGACCTTGCCCAAAGACCACGAAGACCCATATGACTACTGGCTGAGACTAAACAGAGCAGCTGACCTTGCTTCTGACTGCCTGAGAGAGCAGGGCAAATCATTTGAAAATCCTGAGATGGAGGTGACACGTATGTTTATTAGGAATTGTCCCTGTAAAGACCTGGCTCTCACTTTCAGATCCAAAACTATTGACAGGTGGTCAGCATGTGAAGTCCTGGAGGTGCTGAATCAGTACCATGCTGAGATGAGCTGTAAAGAAACTTTCCCAGTGCGCCACGAAGACAGTAGACATTAAAGTGCACAAAGCAGAAGTGGGCCATGGCTTGATCCCTACACATAACAGTCAGGAGTACCCCCAGACACAGCGCTCAGTATGTCTCCCTGACAGATGTAATGTCGATGTTAGAGAAGGTTCTGCTACATGGAGCCTCTAATCAGCCACATGAAAGAAGGCGAATTCCACCCAGGCGACCTGTAGACAATGCAGACATAATAAATGGTTTCACTATTAAACCATGCATTATTTGCAAAGCTGACGACCACAGTGCCTTGTCACATTGCAGAGAAAATAGGCTTTGTTTCAAGTGTTATGCTCCAGGTCATTCACGCCACAACTGCCCAACTAAAAGAGCTGCCCCAGAGCATCAGGAAAACTGACTGGTCTGCACACAAGGGAGGACAGTGCAGATGAACCCAATAAGCCTCCCACTAAAAATGAGTCTCCAGAAATCCAAGATAATGCATCCCTCTTTGAGTTAT